TATTCACGTTGACTTTCTCCTTTTTCCATGTAAGATACATGAAAAACGTGTAAGCATATAGAGGCAACAGATTATAACGGTTAAAACAAAACAAACAAACAAACAAAACCATGGACAGTGGTTGTCAAAGTGTAATCCCTGGGCCAGCAGTATTAGTGTTACTGGAAATGTGTTAAGAATGTGGATTCTCAGGTCCTATTCCAGACTTACTGAATCAGCAATTGTGGGAGTAGGGGCACTAATCTGCATTGACTAAATCTCTCCAGATGAATCCAATATATATATTAACATTTGAGACTCAGTGGTCTAATTATTATGAGCATGACATCTGAAGCCAGATGGCTGAATTACTTAGGACAATTATTTTTTGGTTGTCTGCTTCCCATCTGTAAAATGGAAACAGTACCAAAGTCACAGTGTTATAATAAAGATTAAATGAACTAAAGTATGTAAAATCCTTAGAATAATGCCTGGCCACTGTAAGTGCTATATAAATGTAATAATAATTTTTACTGGTTTTATTTTTTCACAGGCTACACTTCACAATTGACAGACTTTGTGTTTACAAAAACAAAACAAAACAAACAACCCCAAAAAACAAAACAACTTTTCTCCTAATATCTTAGAGTCCTTTTCCTTGGCTCAGGGCAGTATTTCTCAGCATGTGCTCCAGGGATCATTTGTATCAGAATCACCTGAGAATACAGATTCTAAAGTCTCACCCAGATCACAAATTCGAATTCTCTAGTGATACTTCTGCATCCTGAAATTTCAAAATCATTACTCTTGAACAACAGACTATTCATTTTGAAAATGAGCACATGAGACACAGGATTAAGATATGCGTAGAAAAAGCCAGAGTCTCTGTTGGCTCAGGAATAAGAACAGGATTTCTGAATTTGTGTTATATTAAAAAAACTATATTGACTGTAGTTTTATTTACCTTATCAGAAATTTGACTGGAGTTGTGCTACTTTGTTTACTGAGATCCATTATTATTTAATCTAAAAATAACCTTTACCTTATAAATCTTGGAGGATTAGGAATAATGAGTTCCTGGTAAATATATAGAGACCATGATTCACAATAATAAGTAATTATTCCAGTTGTGGATGGTGTATCTGATACAGAACATTTATTTTATAGATGCAGAAAAAGGGTTCAGGGAGGATGAGGAAATTTGTCAAGAGTCATATGGTAGAACCAATTACAGCTGGGTATCTCAATGGCCAATCCAGTGCCTTTTCACCACATCCTGTAGTCTTAATCCTTATTTGAATGATTTAAAGCTGCATTTAAATATTTTTTATAACTCAACCTATACTGCTCACATAAAATATGATCTCAGCAGCTTGTGACTTTTGTTTTATTTAAAAATATGTTAATGTCACGTCTTCCTTTTCATAATAGTGATAATTCAATCATATAACGACAACTAAGAACCCATACTCCATTACATACTGCTTTTTAATCAGTGCAAATTCGGTTGCTCTAAAGCAATTAGATTGTCTTTTAGTAGTTGAGAAACTACTTGGGCTTACCCACTCAGGGTCATAGGTCAAAGGTACCTGTGTACCCATTTTGAGGCATGCATAGGGATATTTATCTCTATCTACAAAGTATTTATATAACTGGGGGAGGGAGATAGTCATCCCAACCCTACTTCCTGTCTTGATTATCTTATGAAATGATTTTCTTTTTGTGTCAATTGTTTGTGCTATTCTTATTACATATGACCCTATTGCATTTTATTTTTTTTTCCACTTGCCTTTCCTGCTAAGGATATAGTATTTGTATTCTTAGTGCATTCATTCACTATTCCCTCTACTTAAGGTAGGTTTCTATCTTACACTTACCTGGTTTACTAATACCTACTACCTAGGCAGTTACTCCTCATTCTTTGGGTTTCAGCTCAATTGTCACCTCCTCATGGCCTTTCTTTCCTTTATCTTTATACGTGTTCTCTGCTTCCATATGTTGCACTCTTTATCACTTTGAAGTATTTAATTCTTCATGGTACTTACAACTATAACATGCTGTTGTCTTATTTATTTGTTTGCCTCTCTCTCTCTCCCTCTCTCTCTCTCTCCCCTCCCCCCTCTCTTCCCCACACACACTCCCCACTTGGCTATAAGAGCCACATAGGCAGAAGATGTGCCTGTTTTGTCACACTACCAACCACAGTGCCTGACACATAGTAAAGGCTCAATGAACATTGGTTCAATGAACGAATATGTCTTATGCAAGATGGTGTAGAATTTTGTAGTCCGCTTTGAGGAGTGTGCGTGTGTTAAACCTTGATCTCTTAAAATAACCTCTTTTGGATTATTTTCTTTATTGATGGACACTAACATAGACATAGGATTTTCTACCTACTCGGTTACCTTGACTCCAGACCAGTTAAATGGACCAGAACTCCTAGAGCATTTGGAACTTTGTGCCTTATCTTGCACAGACCTAGGTTTCTTAGCACCCTGGACCACAATGGACTGTCTTCTAGAGCTTGCACTCTAGGGTAGCCTCCGGCCACTGGTGGCTAGTGAGTGCTTGAAATCTGGCTAGTGTGAAGTGCCATGTGGTGTGAGTGTAAAATACACATCATATTTTGAAGACTTAGTGTAAAAAATGTAAAATGTATCATTAATAATTTTACATTGTTTACTTACTGAATAACAATTTGGATATATTGGGTTACATAAAATATATTATTAAAATTAATTTCACTCTTTTTATGATCTTAATGTCGTATTTGAACATTTAAAATTATAGGGATTCCATTCTGGTTCACATTATATTTTTATTGGGCAATGCTGTTCTAGATCCAACTAGCTCATCAGAGTTCCGACTAGCTCATCCACAGCTAAACTAGTTGTTTAGCAATGTAGGTTGAAGGGGATCCTTTGAAAGGAATGCTAGAATTGCAAGAGTCTCTCATAGTCTCCTCATCAGATGTGCACTTGGGAAAGGATTGGTATCCTGGGAGAGTATTTCAGCTGCCTCCTCATACAACCTCAATGTGAAATTCCAAGGCCCACACACAGTTTGTGTCCTAAGGCACAGAAATTTTAAATGTCTTGCCAGTGGCCACGTATCTTCCTTTAAAATAAAGCTAGAACCAGAATCCAGGTCTTTTGATGCACTTAGTTCATTGGATTATTCATAGCAGGATCTACTAATAAAATTATGTCTTCTTTTTTAAGTTAGATACTAGAGAATTTTAAAGAATTGTTAGTTATGTAGGTTTTCCAAAAAGATCAATGAATAAGGAAATTATACTTCAGGGTTTACATGGTTAAGTCAATGGAAAACCACAGTGTATACTTTGATACATTAAACAAGCAGAAACTCTTTCTGTTATTATTGCCACCTACACTGTGGCAGAGCACTAAACTGGGATGACCTTTACTTAGCATAGGAGCATACATTGCAAAGCAAAATTTAAACAAAAAGTCAGATATGAACATGAAATCTACTTGTAAGCAAATACAAATCTAATAACCACTCTTTGCAAAGCTATAAAAACTCGCTTGGAGACCAGCGACTGCAATTTGAAAAGCTGGTTGCTGTGTCTTCTTCCAAAAGCCCTCATCACTGGCATGTCAGGCAGACTTCTCTTCTTGGGTGATGAGATGGATTTTAAAATTAGCTTCATCATTATGATCGTCCCATTCGTTCAGTAATTTAGCAACTGTTTAGTGATTTAACTATGTGCCAGGTAGTATTCCGGGTGCTTGAGGTACCTTCGTGATTAATGCAGACAAAGATTTTTGCTCTTTTGGAGCTACATTCCAGTCCTTAAGTATTTTCTCAATAGGAAGAATGGCGTGAAAAGTACAGTGAATCTAAGCAGCGCCTGCTTAGAATGCCATGAGGCACATTTTTGTTAGATGGGAATTAAAGTAAATTGGAGATTTTCTATTTGTGTCTTTCTTGGGGAATTTCAAAATAGAGGTGCATATGTGAAGTGGAGCTAGCTGCACAAAACACTACATACCTGGTACGAGTCTACTTTTGGAGTGTCAGAAGACACTTTAATTGCCTCCCTAATAAGCGTCAAAAACAACAATTAGACTGTGTGTTAAGAAATTTACCAATAATTTGGGGGGCATGGCATACTTTTTCAGCTCTTCTTTCTTCTATTGGGATATCCCAACCTTTAGCTAACTAGAAGTCTTAGTTTTTGTTGTTGTTATTTGTTTTTTTTTTTTTTTTTTTTTTTTTTTTTTTTTTTTTTTTTTTTTTTTTTTTTTTTCTCTCTCTCTCTCAATTCCAGGAAGTCTCCGTCAGGACGATTTCCCTTCTCACTTAACACAGACTCTTTCTCATTTCCCCACAGTTCATGAGTCCTGCCCCTTGCTCTCTACCTTACACATCTTTACTTGCATACATTTTCACAGGTTCCCCTCCATTCTGGTCCCCAAGCAAAGATTCTGTAAATACGACTTTTTTTTTTCTTCCTTAAAGCACAGCTAGTAAATGTCTGCATTACTCCCTCAGCTAAGATCAGCCTAGGCAAGTAGGTTTTAATCATTTCTTTAACTGACAAGGAAGAGGATTTGATAATTTGCCTAAAATGAGCAGGTGTTCAGGAGGACATATCTCCATCCTATGTACTCTCCGATTTCAGCCAGAAATGAAAACTACTCCTTCTTCCCTCTTTTCCAGGCAAAAGGCTGATTTAACTAAGCAGCCAAGACGCCAACACCCTCCTCCTCAGTACGTCCAAGTTTTCTTCGCTCTGAGCCACCAAATCTCTGCTTCTCCCCGCTCTCCCGCCCACCCCACGCCACCCCCGCAGGTTTCCGAGTCATCCGGAACGCGAGTGGGTGCGAGGACTCGGCAGGCTGCCTCCCGCGCCCCCGCCGCCCCCGGGCCGCCTCGGGTTCAGCACTGGACAGCTCCCGCCCCGGCCCCGCAAATGGCAGTCGGCTGATTGACAGAGGAGCCGACCAAACAGGGGACAAGACGACTTGCAGCCGCCCTGCAAGGGTTTGGTTGCGGCCAAGCCGCCTCTTTAAATTGGCTTTCCTCCCCAGAGCAGGGAGAGAGGCTGGAGTGTGGTTTGCGGCCAAACCTAAAGGCTGCAATTAACCAGCCGCCTGGCCTTCCCGACTCCGGATTCACGAACGTCTTAAAGGACGTCTTCGCTCCTCGGGACTCGCGGCTGCGCTCGCAGTGCAGGTCTGGGCGCGCGCCCCGCGCCCCCCGGCGAAGCGGTCGAGGAGGAGCCAGAGTCGGGAGGCGGGAACGACCTGCGGCGGGTGAGACTATGGAGCAGCGTCTTTGGCGGCCGCGGCGGCAGCAGCAGCAGCAGCAGCTCCTGAACGCGCCTCAATGAGAGCGGCGGTGGCGGTGGCGGCTGCCGGGCCGAGGGACCGCCGCGGGCTAATTCCAGCCGCCGGGAGCGCAAGGCCATGTAACCCGGTCGGCTCCAGGCAACCAGGTGCGTAATCTCCAGCCGGCCCCTCGCGCAGCGGGCACGGCCAGCGCTGCCACAGGTGACTTGATTTCTGCGACGGTAGCTCTGCCGCCCGGGGGCCGATCTCGAAACATTCTTATTTTCAAGTCCTTTAGACTGGGTGCCATCTGGGAAGGGGGAAGATTCCTCGTAAAAGTCTGACTGTTAAGAAATTGAAGATCCAAATTTAAAAAGTGATTCCCCCCGTTCCCTCCTCTCGTCTCTGCGAGGCAGATGGGAGCCATGGCTTACCCCTTACTCCTCTGCCTCCTGCTCGCTCAGCTGGGATTGGGAGCTGTTGGTGACAGCCGTGACCCCCAGGGACGGCCGGATTCCCCTCGAGAGAGGACCCCAAGGGGGAAGCCGCATGCTCAGCAGCCGGCTCGAGCCTCTGCCTCGGACCCCTCGGCTCACTGGAGCCGCTCCATCGATGGCACCATCTTGGCGCAGAAACTCGCCGAGGAGGTGCCCATGGACGTGGTCTCTTACCTCTACACCGGGGACTCCCACCAGCTGAAGCGAGCCAACTGCTCCGGCCGCTACGAGTTGGCCGGCCTGCCGGGGAAGTGGCCAGCCCTGGCCAACGCGCACCCCTCCTTGCACGAGGCGCTGGACACACTGACACACGCCACCAACTTCCTCAACATGATGCTGCAGAGCAATAAGTCGCGGGAGCAGAACTTGCAGGACGACCTGGAGTGGTACCAGGCGCTGGTGCGGAGCCTCCTGGAGGGCGATCCCAGCATCTCCCGGGCGGCCATCACCTTCAGCACCGAGTCGCTGTCCGCGCCAGCCCCACAGGTCTTCCTCCAGGCCACGCGCGAGGAGAGCCGCATCCTGCTCCAAGACCTGTCCTCCTCCGCACCTCACCTGGCCAACGCCACCCTGGAGACGGAGTGGTTCCACGGCCTCCGGCGCAAGTGGAGGCCCCACTTACACCGCCGTGGCCCCAATCAGGGTCCCCGGGGCCTGGGCCACAGCTGGCGGCGCAGGGACGGGCTCGGCGGGGACAAGAGCCACGTCAAGTGGTCTCCACCTTATCTGGAGTGCGAGAATGGGAGTTACAAGCCGGGGTGGCTGGTTACTCTTTCCTCTGCCTTCTACGGGTTGCAGCCTAACCTGGTCCCGGAATTCAGGTAGGGAGTGGGGGAAAAGCAAAAGCGAAGCCTTCCTTTCGGTCTTGCGGGTGGGTACACTTGTGGGGAAGGAACCCTTGGCTGTGACACGGACGCTTCTCACTCTCAGAGCGGAGACCCGGGCTGAGGGACGCCCCACGCGGGCGCGCTGCTTAGGGGCGAGAAGGGCCCCACGCCCGTCAGCTTCAGGCGCTCAAGGAAAGCCATTCATTCTCTCCGACCAGTTTCTCCTTACGGGGACGAGGGACCGGCAGCTCTTGGTAGGACGGAGACACCCCCGCTGCTCGGTGCTTCCCTCCAACTGTCAGGAGAGCAAGGAGGGGCGTTCCCCACTGGGGGCGATGCGATAACTTGGCGAGTTCCGGGTTTATCCACGGAGTGGCAAGCCTTAGAGCAGAGGCTAAAAGGGAGCGGGAGGAACAGAGAGTTCCTTGTTTCTGGCACTTTGGGGTAGCCTCTGCCTGCTTCCTACGTGTGCAGTTGGGGGCACCGGTCGTTGTTAGTCAGAGCTTATAATTAAAACTGTGCCATCTCCTCGCAGTTCCGGCCCCTCAGCAGTGAGTCAGTCTCAGCAGCTAGCTGTCTCCAGCATCCAGACTTTGCAATTTGGTCAGGGTGCTGTTCCTTCCACCCGTTTCCCCTCTCCCTCCTATTGATCTTTCCTTCCTTGGTGGCCTTTTCCTCCTCTTCCCTGTGTTAGGCATACTTAAGTGTTCTCCAGCCCTTGACACACTCACATGCTTTATAAATGGACTTAGTTATATTCTGGAGGGAGGCATCAGTTGTGACTGAATTCACTCAGGAGGCTGGAGGAAACTTAAGCGGGTCTGTATTTCCTGTCTCAAAGTATAGCATTTGAAGGAAGCAGAGAATTTGCAAATTAACAGGTTTTAACTTCTGCCTGGGGAAGTGTCTGACCTTTGAGGTGAGGAATTTCTGGAAGCAACCTTTAAGAGTGGATGTGAGGAAGGAAGAGAAAGAATAGACACACTGAGAGGGTTTGGGAGAGGGCCCAAGATGGAGTGAGATCTTCCCTTAATCCCATGAGAGGAGGCTCTGGAAAGAGGGTCTTGGGGGCTGAAGTTGCTTTTGTATTTTTTGGGAACCTGGGCAGGAGTGAGAAACCTTTGTGTGTAGATTATTTATTTATTTTTTAAATGCCCTGGCACAGCAAGGACAGGATGCTGGCCTGCTGAAAGATGCCAGATCAAGTACTGGGTGGGCAAGTGGGAAAGGTCAGAAGGCTTGTTTATTTTTGCACTGCCATTTACTGCTGAATGACCTCAAGCAAGTTGCTTAACCTCTCTAGGCCTCAGCTACTTATCTGTCCAGTGAGAGAGTTGAACTAGACAGTCTCTAGGGAATAATCAGTTATCAGGTTCTATAGCTTTTAGTGTTGGCAACACTTGAGAAGGCATATGGGATAATAATCCCGTTTGTCTGATTCTGTATGGCCATATTAAATGTGTGTGTGGGCATCTGTGTATGTGTTTATATCTCTTTTAAAGGTCTTGTCTTAAACCAGACTAACTCTTTTCTACTTTTGAGATAATCTCATTTCCTCCTAATTCCTGCAGGATCCTATTAGTAAGAGCTGAGCCCAGCTTTGAATCTTTGCCATGCTATTTGCTCAGAAGAGGAAAGACCAGCAGATGCTATTCACTGCCAGCAAACTGAAGCCTTTAAATGAATCTTTTTAGGGAGCCCCAAGTCCCAGGGTCCATCTATCTATTCTATCTAACATCCACTTTATGTCAGGCTCTGTGCTAACTGCTTTGCATGCATTGTCTTGATTAGCCGTTACAAAAACCTTATGAGTTACGTTTTATTATTTTCTCTATTTCATAGAAAAGGAATCTGAAGCCCAGGGTGGTTAAGCTTCTTGCCTAAGATTGCACAGCACTAAAATAGCAGGGCCAGGATTTAATCCCACTTCATATTTCATACCATATATACCACTATTGCAAACTTTCTTCTATGAAGGTGTCCTAGGGGTTGCCATAAACAATATAGTTACTGTGTAAAATGTACATATTTTCAAGGGCTACTGTGGAACTGAGGATGAAAACCACTAATTTTCAGAATTATCTCTCTTAATCATATGGATCAGAAAGCATAGGTTGCCTAAATGAACTCAGTGCCTTCTGCCAGCCAAGTTGAAAGCCTAAGGACACGAAGGGTCTCAGATTGGGAGGGCTCAGACACTCCCTGTTTCTTTTAAATCTCTTTAGAATATAGTTTGCTTCTTTAAGTGCCTTCATAGGCAAAGGTGATATTCTTCAGCCAAGGCACAAAGCCAGCCATTTAGTGTCTGGCTCTTTACAGAAGCTGGCTGGTCTCAGTAGCATCACAAAGTAAGTGCTCTCCTGTGAGTACTTCGGCTCCATGTCCTGTGCCCTTCAAATACTGTATTGAGGATCCACACAGATGTTAATTACAGAACCCAGAAGAATATCTTACAGGCATCAAATAGTTCCACCTTTTGTTTCATAGATGAAGAAACAGAACTATAAAGGTGAAGTGACTTGTCCAAAAATCATACATCAAGTTTGTAGCAACAGAAATGGGATCCAGGCCTTCTGCCTCTGGTTTATCCTATATTTGATAAATACATACCTAAAGCAGGTATCTGTGGCTCTCTGGACATCTGTATGCAATCTGTGTTGGGGACATACTTTATTATATATCATCATTTAGGGCAAAAAAAAATTACCCCATAGAAAACAGCTATCACTTTAAAAAATGATTATATTGTTAATTTCACATGTTGAGATAGTATTTAAATGGGCCCTTTCTGTATATCTTCATACTCATAAAAGGAAAATGTTACAGGCCCTTTCTGTGTATCTTCATACTCGCAAAAGGAAATTTTTTTGTTTATAATATTTTATTGTCTAGGATATGCATTATAAAATTCTACAATAGAGGTGAATAATATTGACAGGTATGGTAACAGGGTAAACCTCAAATGAATATTTGGGAAACCAGATTAGGAGCCCTGATCATGATTTTAAATAGTCTTTTAAACATGTGAAGTGTTATTTGCAAAAACCTTTGTGTATAACAGAAAATCCATTGATAATGGTTTATTCATGAAAGAAAAAAGGAGAAAAAACTTTGTAGTTAAGATAAATTAATATTTTCTTAGGTCTTGTTTGCAAGATTCAGGCCTTTACATTAATATAAATTAAATACAAAGTTTAATATAAAAGTATCTTCTTATATTACTGTTTATTACTGTAAAACAATCTCTCAGAATAAATTCTGTTCCCCTGAGTTTTAGAATGACACAAGTATCTTAAAATTTAAGACCTAACATAAGATACATATGGGAAGAGAAGTGTATTTCTCATTTTTTGTCTTTGAAAAAATGGCATTCAATTTCTCTTAACTATTTCTTGAGTCTTTTGTTATATATTTGCAGTATAAACACTTCATTCTCATTTTCCATGCTAGTAAAAAAGTGAGAGTAATAATTTAAGATACACTCTGAAAATATTTTTACTTTTACCATTAGGCTTGTCGTATCCTTGTAACATTTTCCTTAAAGCTAGGGTTCTTTTGTTCGCATGATTTTTCTTTGTGAAACTTGAAGTACTATAGAATTGGATCCCATTTTGTTGAATGCACAGATACCTCTCTGGCGGTGATTGGAATTGTTGAGTGCCTAGGATAGGCAGCAGGTAATTAAGTGTTTGTTGAATTTAAAAGAAGGTGAGTTTCTTTAAAATTCCTTTAAAGAATTAATTCTTGATGAGCTGAGGGGAAAGTTGGAATTCCTTCAGTTTCTTCACATATTATAGTTGAGGAAACTGAGAACCAAATAGCTAAAGGAATTTGCTAAAAATGGAATACCTCTTTTGTGACAGATGGGAGTTAAGGGAAACCAATATTTATTGAATATCTACTATACATGAGATACTTTATATATTTCAGTGCTTGTAATTCTTAGAACTCTCAGGTAGCAACCAGGTTGGAAAAGTTGAACAACCTGCCCAAGTGAATGTAGCTAGCAAATGAAGAAGCTAAAATCAAATTTAGATCTGTCTAGTTATGAAGCCTGTGTAGTCTTTCCACTAGCCTATGCTGATTTCTAGCTCTTGATTCCCCAATTTTGTCATTAAAAACAAATAAGATCATACTGGCTTGAATTAAGTAATATGCTTGGCCCAAACCAATGATGTACATGTATTCTTTTTGGGCCAACTATGCAACCAAGTATGTTGTACAGTGAGAAGAGTATTCAATTTGAGGCGGAACTTTGCCACAAGTCCCAGTTTTGTCTCTGACTGGCTGTATTACCTGTCTGGAAATCAGTTTCTGCATAAGAAAAACGTGGAAATCCATTTGATGATTTCCATGTACCTCTTAATTGGCCTATCCACATAGTCAACAAATAATTTTGAAAACAGGGCTGATGCACATAAATCCAGCATCTTGTGGAAATGATATGGGAGAGTCACATGCAGAGGAAGAGGAAACCAAGTGAATGTTAAACCTGGTATTTGGTTAAAAAAAGAAAAGAAAAAAAAAAGGCAAAAGGGAGATAAAGGAAAGATCACAATAGTGTGGAAATCTCTTTTTAGAAACTAATGAACAAGAGTGTCACTGATTCACTGACTGCCTGAGTGCTCACTCCACTTTCTCTCCTTCACACAAAACACCCACACACCTCCTTCAGTGATTCTGTTACAGATTCCTGCTTTCAACAAAAGAGGGCAATTCACACAGTGTAAAAGAAATGACCGTCTTGCTCTAGGCCCAACATATCCTATGTCTTTCTTGTAGGAGCTGAAAGTGATAAGTAGGCTTGCCTATAGGAATAGCCCAGAGGTGTTTGCCTGGGTTATAGTTTAAAAGGTTTTCAGAGGAACTTCTGCTGTGGAGGCTTTTGAGTCTTAGTTACATCATTTGTAAGCTATGAAGAGTAATGTGTATGTCCTTCGAAATTCTGTAAAGACTAAATGAAGAACTGTCATCACACAGGAAGTTTAGTAAAT